CTCCTTATCCATGCAGAAAGCAACAATTCAAGACTGCAGTCTTCATTCAGATTTTGGATTCTATTATTTTGAACTACAACTGCTTACTGAATTGTCTACTTTAGTTTCCTTCTGTTCAGAGGTGGTGCTACCCTATTGGGGGTCCTAAGCAGGAATATTTTGCCCCCAACACATAATAAAAAGTGAATGGGAGGCTCCCTTGAGCTGCTCACAGGGCCCTATGCAATTGCTTAGTCTGGTTGTGCCTAGTGCTGACTCTGTTTCTGTTAAACCAGAACCCTTTTGTTTCACAAAACTGCAGACTGTTTATAGTGTGAACAAGCAGGATTTGTTTAAGACCTTGGTCCCAATTGGCATTTCTAGGCAGAATTGTAATATAAATAATGAAGATGATGATACGACTGGCTTGAAAGACTTTGAAATTGAGCTGCAGTAATGGAAATCAGAATGGATATGTGAACATATAGGTACTGGGTCTCATTCTTGACTCACTTACAGCAGTGTAAATCAGGAGTAATACCACTGAGGTCAATGGAATTACATTGGTGTGAAACTGGAGTAAGTGAAAGTAGAATCTGTCCAACATAGAGATGCTATAATATCTTAGTACGAACAAGTAGGATTGTATGGGATGATTTTTGGAACCGGGGTTTTCATCAGATACAGTTAGCCCAGTGGTGCCTCACTGGTCAATGAGTAAAGGAGCCTTTTTTCCTTAATTTGATAATTTGTGAATAATATGAGGCTATATATATTTTAGCTGCACATTACAAAGCCTGATGAAGCTCATGCGATTACCACTGGGTTTTGAGAGGGGACTTTATTCACAACCATCCTACTTTAACACACATTACAGTTGTTAATAAAATCATATGTACTGTACAGAACAATTAAAAGTTTGATGTTTTAGGAAGTTGCTTATTTTATGCAAATGGCAGGAAAAAAAGCATTAAATGACACAACACATTTTGATTTCTTATGATAATATTCACTTTAAAAAAACTACCAAGAGATGGCGCTGTGGTCATGCAGTTTAAGTAAAGTGTATGTATATGTGAACTGCCCTTATATTGTAGTTTATTATGGCACTTAGTAATCTTACCTTTATAACACTCCCCTGAGTCAAATGAGTTTGATAGGCTGATTAATATTGTAAGTAGCCTGTTGCTGGAACTGAAATATTTACAGTCAGATATATATTGCCTATCCAAAGAAAATACATTTTTGTTGTAGGGAAATACATTCAGTGGAAAGGTAGAATGATCATAATTTCCATGTGTTTATTAAGGTCATAACATTCCTTAAGGTGCTGTTCTGCTTTGTCTAACTCTAACAAGACACTTTAATATTTTTTTAGCCTTCAGCAAATATAGTTCTTCTAAAATTTAACAAAACAAACAAACAAAACCCCCCAATAACTTAAGACAAACTTCCAATTTATAAAGGAACTGATGGCATTTGAGTGCTTTAATCTGCTTGGCTAGCAGTGGGATTTAAGAAAACAATTAAACATTAAAGCACAATTTCACATTTAAAGTTTTCAAAATACAACAAACATTTTTCTCTTGTGTGTATTTACATAAACATATTTGTTATGTATTCAAAATAGAATGCATCTTACCATTAGGCACCAATTACATACATACAGTACATGATTGCATGAATGGGATAGAAATGGAGGATTTTTTTGCCCTAATGTATATAAAAATGTGCACAGTAGCCACAAACTAAGGAAATATTCTATGACAGAAGCTTAAAGTCACTGAACATTTTTCAGAGGCTGTTGAAAAGTTATTAAACAGCAGAGGCTGGTTGAAACATTTTAGATGAAAGTTTTTTTCCATCAAAAATGCTGTTAGCTTGTAAATGTTTCTCAGATCCAGGGTGGAAGAGAGAGAGAGAGAGACCCCACCCAAGAATAGCCAACAGCCTGCTGATTCAGAGCACAGAGACTTGAAATTGGGTCTCCCACATCCCAGGTGAGAGCCCTGACAGTTGAGTTAACCGGGGGTGATAGCTCTCATTTTTTTCAAGAAAAATGTCACAAGCTCTGATGTCACAAGGTCTCATTTTTCTCTGATGTGGAACCAAAACAAATGTCAAAATCTCAATTTTTTTCATGAAGTGGAATAATTTTCCCCCACCAGCCCTAGTAAGCAGTATGGTATTTCAGTTCAAACGGTGCCTAGATATCAGCAAGGCACTATAAATTCTGGTCTTGAAATTGCTAAACCCTGATGTCTACCAACAATAACATTTATCTCTTAGTTGATATCTATTTATTAACTGTCTCGCAAATCTATTACTGCAAAGTAGGGGACTGTTGTCCTTATTCAGGCAAAGCTCATTGAAGTCTATGGGAATGTTGCCAGAGTAAGGCTGCAGGATCAGGTACTGTAGCAATCAAATTGTCTAAGATATTTATGAAGAGCCAGAGACATTCATCTTTGTCTGTTATGCATTCCATCATCTTTGTTTAAAGAGGCTTCTTGGACTAAAGCTGTTGTTCTCCTTGCATAAACAACTATCTCAGAGCTAATGACATTAAAAATCGTGTGTGTGTATATATATCTCCATGTCTTATACATTGCTTTCCAATGGAAAAGTAAATTCTCTATTACCTATATTAATTAATAAAAAGGACACTGTCAGGTAGCATAGGTCTAAAATATAGGTTTTATTTTAATAAGTTTTAAAGAATCGTATATTAATAGGCATCCTTTAATGAAATGTAAAACAATTAATTAAAATCACTTGTTTAGACTGCAACATTTCCCTTCAGTTTTCAACCTGAGCAATGCAACATTGTACTAGTGTTGTTAGAGACAGAAAATGAAATTTTCTAGAAATTGGGAGTCTGCTTTTGTTGGCCAAGCTGAATAAAATGCAGAAAATAAATAAACAGTATAATCAGTGGAAATTAAATGCACAGTTATGTCTGTAAAGCACAGCCCAGTGGTGGAGATTGTATGCAGAAGCACTCGCCCACTCAGGAGCTTCAGAAAATATTGTGGTTCAGGTAAACACCATGGCTCAGATCTCCTAGGTATGCACTAGTGGTGAGTAATGATTGCACTGAAGTCGGTGCAGACTGCAATGTGACTTGTTCTTTGCACCAGGGAAGGCTCCTATGACTCATCCACTGTGCAGGTGGTGCAAGGCCGCAATAGGCACTAAATTAGATTTTTAACATTGTTTCATTTGTCATCATCTAAGGGAATTTGGTTTGGGGCCAAATGCTAAATTCCTCACTCAGTATTTACTCACTCCTTATACTGGTGAAACTCAGTGACTTAATGAAGACAGTAGGGTTTGGCTCATAACTTTTGACCAAATAGTGACCCTTTATTTTCAGTTGATAGGCTCTAAAACTGGACTTTACCTTGCTTTTCTTATACCTGTTTGTAAAGTCCATGTAAGTGTCTAATATTTGGATGCAATCTTCCAGATAGTAGCAACAGCTATAATTTTACTCCCACACAGAATCCTCCTGGCTTCAATGGAAATACATGCTATACCTAGTAGTAAATGTTTGCATGATTAGGCCTTTTTATCAAAGTAAAATATTTGATGCTTTTTAAAATAATCTAACTATCCTGCCATTAATCTGTGCAGGTAGAACCCTACACCATTTGCAGAATCTCATTATTTTCAGTGGGCCTCCACAAAAAGACAGTATTTGGTCCTGCCATGCGGGCAGGGGACTGGACTCGATGACCTCTCGAGGTCCCTTCCAGTCCTAGAATCTATGAATCTATAAAATGTAAGGATCTGCCCAGGCATCCCTCATTAAGATTGTAGCCAAATAATGCAAGCAGCCCAGCATTCCTGAGCAACCCTCTAACAGCAGCAAAATAGTTTGTATATGTAATGGAGGAAAACCAAATTCTAGTAAGAAAAAACAATACTTCTTTTTCAGTCTTCTAATTATTCTCAGTATAGAAACATTAAAACAAAACAAGGAAAATACCATAATAATGTCCTTTCTAATCAAGCAGAAATGCGGAAAGATATTCTATTAAAGCCCACTCCTTACTCATGCAGAACTCCCATTGAAATTAATTCTATTTGAAACCTATGGGAGCTGTAAAGAGAAATGTCAACAGGATTAAGCCTGAAATTATTTAGCAGTATTGGGCCTGATTTTCCACCCTGTTACCTCACTTACACTGTTGTAAAATCAGTATAATGTAGTCGAGAACCAAGCTCAATAGAGGCTTTTTGTAACAGTATATTTTAAAGTCTAAACCAGTGCACGTGAAACATTCAGAATAGGGGTAAAATGAAATAGAAAATAGAGCTCAATAATGTTTGTAGTGACAAAGGAACATTCAAATTTAATTTACTTTTGAAGAGAACTAACTTGAAGTACAGAACAAATGGCAGAAAACCCAACAACATTCCGGAATTGTAATTGGAAAGGAAAAATATCCATAAAAACACCAAATTTTTCACATAGTTGATCTATACAGGTTTTCATAGCATTTTGTTTAATATTTATTTTATTTTAAATATATATCCATAAATTAACTGATGTTTTCTTTTCCTGTAAACTCCTGTAAAGTGCTCATTCAGTTAATGATAATAAAATTACATTGTAGCAAGACAAATTAATTCAAACGTAACCAGCAAGTAAACCAAACAATAGCTTTGTTTTCATTTGCAGAAGGAAAAGAAACACATTAATTTCTTCACAGCCCATGGTATAATAATACAATAAATTGCATTTTTCTTTAAGAAATATATTATTTAGAATACTAAAAAAATAAGTTTAATAAAGCCTGTGCTTAAAACAGCTGAAATACTGTATGAAAAAAATGCACATTTGATAGCATTTTAACCCTGTTTGTCATCAACTGGATAACATGAGTATGTGATGCTATTGAAGTTCTCTTAGACAGGGCTAATTTTCCTAAGCTATCAAAGCTTCTCAGAGTTAGATGAAGTTTTCTGAGTACATACCATTGGTTGCCATAGCAGCTGTTGACAGGCTAGCAGAGTCACACACAGCTAACCTTTTCACTGACTGGGCTAATACTGCCCTTTGAGGTACTATCTAAAGGATGTATTCCGATTGTAACCATAGAATAATCCTTGGCCATCATTTTAGCCTCTTTTTTTAAACTCTTCATTTGTGCTAGCTGGAGTTGGCTGGAGTTATATGCTAAAGCAGGTATGGTGTTCACTAAAATCAGCTGTAAAGGCTTCTTCTCCTCCTTGTATCGACACTGAATATAACGTGAGAAAGCAGAACGGTAGGTTTTATTGAACAGTGTGTATACTAATGGGTTGACAGCCGAAGAAAGGTAGCCAATCCAGACAAATACATTAAGCAGTCCTCCAATGACTTCTTCATTGCAGGATTTCTTGCAAATGACTGCCATCACATTGGTGATGAAAAACGGGCACCACATCACAACAAACAGAAAGAAGACGATACCAAGAACCTTGGAAGCTTTTTGTTCATTACTGATTGACTGCATAGTCCTCCTTCCTGAATTCCCCAGCTCTCTGTTCAAAGAGCGTTGAAAGAGTTTCTCTGATGACAGAGAACTTTGAGGGAGAAAACTAAATGAAGCAAACTTGGTCTTTGTGCCAAGGTCATTAATGCATAAGGTAGCTTCTTTCTGAAGTGATTTTATAGTTAAAAAATAGGTGACCACCATGATGGTTAAAGGAATGAAGAACGCCACAAAAGAGCCTATTAAGACAAAGCTCTCATCAGCCAGCAGGCAGCTACCTTTCTTGAACACTTTGGAATCATCTTGTAGTCCAAGCACAGGTACTGGCATTGAGATACCTGAAGGTTGGTTAGAAAAAAGAAATAGAGAATTTCATGCACATTAATGATAAATAAATACCAAAAAATATGCATAATTTGACGAAACATGAAGTGTGGTTTACAGTTACTGGGCATAACCTACAACTGATACAAAGTTGTTAGATTAAAAGACATTCCAAAACTAATTCAAAGTACCTAGAAACCACTCCCCAGTGCCTCCAACTCATGTGCACTAGTCTGCTGATTCCATTCCTGTCTCACCCTTTGAGCTAGGACTACAGGGGAACCACAGGGAAAGAATGCTGTTTGTACGTTTTGTCTTGGAGCATCAGCATGTAGTTTTGGGGAAAGAAGCTTCTGTTTGGAGTGTTACTATTGTCACAGCCCTAGTAGAGCTCCCCCGAGCTGGACACTCACCAGATTGCTGGGTTTGGGTCCCACCACACAGTGTACTCTTAAGCTTCCCATGGTCTATGCAGGCTGCAGCACTGTCTCTTTCCCTGGCCTCCCTGACACAATTTGTAGGCACAGGCTCTCTGTCTGGTACCCTTTTGTGGAAATAGGGCCTCACAGCCCAGCTGGCTTAGGCCACCAGGGCCTGTGCTGATCCGCTAATCTCCCCAGTAGTTTAAGTACACGCTTTCCCAGAATGCCAGGCTTGTGGGCACTCTGAGTTTACAGTTCACCTCTTCAGGGACATGGGACAGTGTGGACACAAAGAGACCCACAGGCTTTGTAAGGTTCCAAAAAACAATCAACTTTTTTACTTTAGCTAGCACGAGAAATATACAGATCTAGACAAACAATAAAATGCCTATATACTGTTCCCTGCCTAGTTTCCTCACCACTCTAGAGCATACTTTGGAATTAGGCCAAGTCCTCTAAGGAGTCCAGGATACCCCTCCAGCATGTGGCTTCTCTGACACTTGCTCACTCATTCACTCTCTCCTCTCGCTGCAGTCAGGTTTCTTCTTCTGTGGCTGGTTTTGCAGTTAAAAGGACCCCTCTGCTACAAAAGCATACCCCTCTGTTCCTCTCTCCAGCCCCCGCTTCTTTTGTCTCTGAGTGTCCCTCTGAATTCCTTCCAAGTCTCTCAGGCTGTGTCTAGACAAGGCTAAAAGTCCTGTGGCTGGCCTGGGTCAGCTGACTTGGGCTCACAGGGGTTTGAGGTGCAGGGCTAAAAATTGTGTAGATATCTGGGCGTGGCCTGGAGCTTGAATTTTGGGACCCTCACCGGGTCCCAGAGCTCAGTCTGGATCCTGAGCCCCAGCGTCTTCACAGCACTTTTTCAGCCATAAGCCTGAGCCCCTAGACATACCCTCAGGTTCTGTGATAAAGACCCAATGCTAACAACTGATCTCTTAGTTCTTTTGTTTGAGGATTTTCCACTCTCCAAATTCCAGCGCCCTGCAGAGAAATTGGAGAAAACTGGCTTAATCTAGGCAGGAGTTACTCTCTGGGTAAGATCTATTTAGGTCCTGATAGACTATAACAATTGGCCTATTCGTGAATAGACATGTCAGCACCACTCCCCTGGCTCCTTAGCACAAGTAGTGCTAGGCAGTACACAGTAAAAGACAGTCAGAAAATATAAAGGCGCAGGCAGTTTATAAAATCAAACTGGAATTCATAGGTTGTACACAGACAGATTCCCCAAATTGTCACAACTATCCTAGAAAGGGGTTGCAGTTACCCTTGCAGAGGCCTGGTTGAGAGGGGTGGGAGAGAGAACAGGACCCTAAGGGGATTTTTGCTGTGCTTGCTGTGACTGGGTGGAGGTGATCTTTGGCCAGGTAGGGCCACATCCTCTCTTCCTGGCTGACAGATCCAGTTTGGTTGTCTTTGTACAACACAACCCCCTTTACAAAACCTGTCCTTGGTGCAGGACTGAATATTGTTTCTCCTATAGAGCTGTGGTCTAATGGGCTTGATGGAGGTGAAGCGGTCCAAGGTGAATGGAGTTTACCACTTGGCCCTGCAATTTATTACATGAGTGTAACTCAACATATATTTCAAGGAAAGACAGCTAACGTTTGCACTGCTGTCCTTTCTCCTCAGGGGTTCTTCTGGGAGAGAGCAACTTTAAGTTGCTCGTCGTGCTCCAAAGGAGCCCCATTGACCCAGAGGCCTGGGGGATGCACGAATCCCAGGCTGCTTTATTGCTGGTGAACCAGTGGAGCCCAGTGCTCAGTGTTACCCATATAGTTAACCCCTTCTCTGATTACTGCTGTCATCCCTGCCAATGTTGACTTGACTTGAACTTGAACTGTACCAAAAACAGCAGGCATTTCAATAAAAAGACCATGGGAGGTTACCCTCAAGCCTCCTACAAAAGATTTATCCTCCCCCCTGCACATCACTCAGTATTTTTAGCCTAGTTAGAAGCTCTTAGCCAGAGCGCTTTAAATCTCCAACTGAAAAAGGCCCAGCAGCAGCCTTAACTCTCCACAGCAGCCCCAGAAAGAAGGGAGGAGGCAATGTGGATTACAACTGAGAAAAGCATTTAAGAGAGCAGCAGGAGGTGGAGGGCAATTTTGAAAATAATGACAAGAGGGCCCAGGTTTCAGAGGCGTGATCACTACTATCTTTGTTGATGTAAAAACTTTTATGACACAATTTCACACATGCAAACTTACCCTACTGGGCAAGAAAACCTGGTTTTCTGAAGGAGTCTAGGGCTTGTCTACACTACTCGCCGAATCGGCGGGCGGCGATCAATCCAGCGGGGGTCGATTTATCACGTCTATAAATCGACTGCTGAGCGCTCTCCCGTCGACTCTGGTACTCCACCAGAACGAGAAGCGCAAGTGGAGTCGACAGGGGAGCGTCAGCTGTCGACTTACCACAGTTAAGACACTGCGGTAAGTAGATCTAAGTACATCGACCTTCAGCTACACTATTCACGTAGCTGAAGTTGCGTATCTTAGATTGACCCTGCGTGGTAGTGTAGACAAGCCCTAAGGGGGTGAAGCACCCAACTGCTATTGGGTTTCAATTTGATAGCAGGCTTGTGGTGTTGCCCTAACTATTTCTGTTGTATTGTTGTAGAAACCTAATAACTCAAACGTAACCTACACTAAGAAGCGTCAACCTCATGGAGAATTTTACAGCAAGGGACCAATATGACTAGAACCCCATGCAACCCAACTGAAGTTACAGGGTATGTAACTCAGAACATATTTCTGGCCCACAGCCTAGTCAATTCTACATGAATAGGCATCTACCAGAAATATATTTGTATGTGATGTTTGAGTAATTAGAGGCCCAACTGTGTGAGGTGCTGAGTACCTATTGTGAGATGCTGAGCTTTCTGAATTCCAAATGACTTCATTGGCAAATTGAATGAGAGTTGAGGGCACTCAACAGCTCACTATTAGGCTTTAAGCACGTACAAAAATACACCAATCAGAGCAATACCATAAGTTCCCCCATCCAGTTCTGCCTTGTATAGATAACAGCAGTTCTCTTTTTCTCATTTGATTCAAGGAACTACTGTGAGCTGTGTAGATAAAATACAAAACGGTATCGACAGAATAGAGTCCTTGCACTGCTGCAGAGCATAATGATTCAAAAGAGCAGGAGTGCTATTAAGATGGTTAATAGTCCTAGAAAGTTGAAAATAACTGCAGGCTTTTTCAAGTACAAAGCCAGAGACAAACTTGTGAAAAGGTAAAACATCATGAACAAATAATCCAGTCAGTCTAGGCTACCTTAAATGGGCATCATAAAATGTCAAAGATTCATTCATGAGAACTGGGATAAAGGCATTGGCAGATTTCCAGTGTCACAGTTTACTGCTTCAGTGATTGGTAAGGAGCTTTATTATCCATCTGTTTTGTTTGCTGTTGGCGATTTCTGGAGAATTTACGTCTTCTTAAATTCAGATTTCTTACTTTCAAATAACCTCATCACTGTGACTGAGCGGACACTATCTTCAGTTTTTAACTGCAGTTTTCCCATTCCATTACAGTTCCCTTACCAAATGTAATAAATAAGATTCACAATATAGATTTGGCATTGCCAGATGTAGCTGTTACATCTGTATTGTGCAAAACTGATCTTCAATTTAAATGATACTCCAGCCATGTGGCTAATGACTGTACTATGTTCTATTGTATGGGAGACCCCAAGTTTGATTCCCAGTCCTGTTCTTTCTTTTCCTGCATTGGCAGAGGCTGGAAATGCTGCCAGATATTAAGAGGCAGGAAATCTTACATTGCTCAACAGCAAGCTTTCTGGTTAATTAAAGTGTGCGAATGACAGAATCTAATTAGGCAAAGGGAGTAAATTCAAAAGCAACAAATTTAAAATGATTAATAAAAGGAAATGCTTTTTTAACACAATACATAATTAACCTGTGAAACTCACAGCTAAGGCTATTATTTTAGTAGGTGTTTTAAACACAATCACATGTTTATACGATTAAGAATGTCATCCACATTTACACTAGCTGGGATACAACTATAAAGGACATCCGAACTCATGCTTCAGGAGTGCATAAAGGAACAGCTCTGGTCTAAATTTTAATCATTCGTTTATTGATTGATTTATAAAATATGCATGTGTTTATAGAAGTTAACAATCATAAATTAAAAATAGAATTGACAAAAGTTAACTCAAAAATAATTCCCTCTCCCGCCAATCTACTCTGCAGGATGCATACTATGGAAAAGCCTGAGCAAATAGATAAGCAATGCAGCATTTCCTAAAGGACAACAAATTTAAGCTTTTTGGAAACAACGGGGAAGCAAATTCCAGTCTTTAGGCTCTCCCTCTGAGAATGTCTTGCTCCTTGCCCACTGGGGGACTTTTAGCAAGGGTATTCCAGGCAGGGCTGCCCAAAGGGGGGGACAAGTGGGGCAATTTGCCCCAGGCCCCGCAGGGGCTCCCACGAGAGTTTTTCGGGGCCCCTGGAGCAGGGTCCTTCACTCGCTCCGGGGCCCCCGGAAAACTGTCGCAGGGCCCGGGCCCCCCGAACTTCTTCCGTTCCGGGTCTTCGGCGGCGGGGGGTCCTTCCG